AAAAATTTAAAAAATACTTTCTGCAAGAAAAAAGCTCTCATTTTACCTTTCAACTTACCCATGCTCTTTAATAACTTTGGCATAACTCTGAGAAGTATTTGGCACTGAAGACACTTTGTATTCTTGCTGGCTAGTATTGCCTAGATTGGGAATAGCAAGTGATATCCTTTGATTATACCTAAGAGGAAAGGAGAAAAAGAAATAATGAAAAAAGAATCACTTTTTTTTTTCTCTTTTAAAAAAACATATGGGAGGTGGACTCCTGTGGCTCATGCCTGTAATCCTACTCAGGAGGCTGAGATCTGAGGACTATGGTTCAAAGCCAGCCTGGGCAGGAACATCCATGAAACTCTTTTTTGTTTGTTTTTTTGTTTTTCTGGATCAGGTCATGGGGCCTGAACTCTGGGCCTGGGCACTGTCCCTCAGCTCTTCATCTCAAGGCTAGCGCTCTACCACTTGAGCCACAGTGCCACGTCTGGCTTTTTTCTTTTTGCTTATGTGGTGCTGAGGAATCGAACCCAGGGCCTCATGCATGCAAGGTAAGCACTCTACCACTGAGCCACCTTCCCAGCCCCTTTTTGTTGTTTTGTTTTGTTTTTTGCATCCATGAAACTCTTATCTCCAATTAACTACCAGAAAACCAGAAGTGGTGCTGTGACTCAAGTGGTAGAGCACTTGCCTTGAGCTTAAGAGCTCAGGGACAGCGCCTAGGTCCAGAGTTCAAGCCCTACGACCTACAAAAAATAAAAACAAAAAACAAAACAACCATATGGGTCTTGCTATGTTGTTACACTGAAGGTGACCCTGTGAGCTCAAATTATCCTCCTATCTTATCTTCCTAAGTGCTGGGGTTATAGGTATATACTGCCATCACCTACTCTAAAAGTTTTACTTTAAGAATGGGGGTTGGGGAGACTGGGAAGGTGGCTCAGTGGTAGAGTGCTTGCCTTGCATGCCTGAGGCCCTGGGTTCGATTCCTCAGCACCACATAAGCAAAAAGAAAAAAGCCAGACGTGGTGCTGTGGCGCTGTGGCTCAAGTGGTAGAGCACTCGCCTTGAGCTGAAGAGCTGAGGGACAGCACCCAGGCCCAGAGTTCAGTCCCCATGACCAGACCCCCAAAAAAAAAAAAGAATGGGGGTTGGCATAATGGAGTGTAGTTGCAGAGTGGCTAATAAAAACTCCTCACCCTGTTTTTGTTTTTTTTTTTTTTAAAGAATGGAGGGTGGCCCAGCCACTAGTGGCCCACACTTATAATCCTACTCAGAAGGCTGAGATCTGAGGATCCAAGTTCAAAGCCAGCCTGGGCAGGAAAGTCTGTGAGAATCTCATCTCCAATCAAGTACCAAAAAAAGAAAGAAGAAAGCTTCAGTGGAGGTTTGGCTCAAATGCAGAGCAGTAGACTTGAGCAAAAAAGCCAAGTTAGAACTTGAGGCCCTGAGTTCAAGCGAGGCGAGGCTGGACTTGAACCACAATAAAATCAGGTTCCCAAGTTTAAAAATAGTTATTTATTAATGATTATTTTCACTGATACTGACTGATTTCATTAAACTGAGTTTCCAAAGACAATATGACCCACCTAATCATGTTTTTTCACTTTAACAAGTTCACAATGCAAAAACCCTCATTAACCAGAAGGTGGAATCAATTTTACAGTTTTGTCTTTGAAATTGTTGTTCTAACATCCTGATCAGACCTCTAAAGCAATACAACTACATTGCTATACTAGATGAAGAAGTAAATGGTGGTTCCTACCTGTTCACTCCCATATAAATTTATGCATAGTATCATGTCTTACTAATGCTTATTAATCTAAAAATAGTTTAATTTATATAAATACTTGACAAGGAAAATACCTTCTCTTAACTATTCAGAGAGCAACAAAAGCATTTCTTTATAGATACTATAAAATACACAACAATGCACAAACGTTTTCAAAGCTATAAATCTCAATTACTTGTGCAAACTTCTTTCTCTTTATGAGACAGATGGAAAGATTTTCTTTACCTGCGATTTGGTCTAAAGAGAACATACTCTAAAGCATGAGTGGAATTGTTGGCAGTGGAGATGAAGCTGAAGAGGAGGAAGACGAGGTCGGGCACACCGAGGATGCGAGTGAGCTGTTTGTGGATAACCTGTTCTCTGTATGACATCTGCTGTTGAGTATTTCGTCGGAATCTATACCATCCAATAACTTTCTATAGCAAAACAGAAGAAAAGTATTAGAAGTTGTATGAAATCCTACAAATTTAATTCTGAATGTATCCATACAAACACTGTACACAAATACTCATAGTAGCTTTACATGAGATAGCCTCAAAATGAAAGCAAGCAACTGTCCATCAGCAAGTGAACAGGTAAACAAATTGTGATGTACCTATATACTGGAGTACTACTCAGTAATAAAAAGGAACAAATGACTGGTATATACAATATGGATGAATCTCGAATTATGAATGAAATTAATTCCGAATGAAAGAAGCCAGACCAAGGGTCTATCTATGTAAAACTCTGGAAAATGAAAATTCATCTACATTGAGATGGAGCAATTCCATGGCTGCGAGTACCAGGTAAGGAAGTGGAATGAGAAAAATACATAGGAAACTTCTGCCACTGGATGGTATGTTCATTATTGCCTTACAGTGATGGTTTCATGGATGTGTACACATACCAAATTGATCACTGTATACACTAAATATGTGTATTTTATCATATGACAACTATATTCCATAACCTATTTTTAATAGCCATTTTGACAAACTATAGCATATCTAAACCGGCTAAGTGAATTAACCTATAGAAAGTATACTTCTCATAATGTGACTTGCTGAACATCTTGAAAACAGATGACATGAAGCATCTGGAAGTCTTGCCAGAATGCCTTCCTGGGCCTCTCTCATATCTATAGAGCCAGGAATCTGAATTTAAGATAAATTCCTTGAGTTTTCTTTTGCGTTTGAAAATTTGAAAGCCTGCTGTAGAAACAGCTTAATTTTTAAATTAGAAACACCTCTCCATAAAGCTTGCTTCTTTGAAATAAATACTAAGTAAAAATCTTGAGTTTTTGTGCCAAGACTGGGGCTTGAACTGAGTTTTGCACTCACAATTGTGTTCCATCACTTGAGCCATGCCTCCCAGTCAAAAAAATCCTGTTTTTAAGGTAAAAGTGAGCCAGGCATGATGGTGTATGCCTATAACCCCAGCCATGGATTGACTGAGGAAGGAGGAGGATTGCAAGGTCAGGTCAGTCTACACTAGCAAATTCATGGCCAGTCTCAACAAACCTGTTACAAACAAACACACACAGGAAGGGAGTTTAAAACTGTCAACATTACTTTAAAATAGTAAATTTAAAATATATTCTGGCACCTTCATGTAGAAAGGAAGTAAATTCACAGTCACTGAATACTTGTGCCAAACTTTCCATTCTTTCTTTCTTTTTTCTTTTAGCACTTTTTTTTTTTTTGGTCAGTTGTGGGGCTTGAACTCTGGACTTGGGTGCTGTCCCTGCACTCTTCAGCTCAAGGCGAGTGCTCTACCGCTTGAGCCACAGCACCACTTCCTCTTTCTTTTTTCTTTTTGCCAGTCCTGGGGCTTGAACTCAGGGCCTGGGCACTGACCCTGAGCTTCTTTTGCTCACAGCTGGCACTCTACCACTTGAACCACAGTGCTACTTCTGGCTTTTTTTGTTATGTGGTACTAAGGAATCAAACCCAGGGCACCATGCATACTAGGCAAGCACTTTACCACTAAGCCAATTCCCAGCCCAAACCTTTCAGTGTACAATCTTATGAGACCTGTCCTTTTATTTTTCAATTTTATTATTAAGTAGTTGTACAAAAAGATTACAAGTCCATAAGCCATGAATCTTGATCAATATAAGACCTGTATTGTCCAAAGTCACGTGACTGAACAATAGCCACAGTGTAGAACTTGGCTACCTGTCTCTTTCCATGGTACAAGACTAACTTCAAAATTCCATGTTTCATGAAGAACAGTGAAAAGTAGTCTTTTCTTTTTTTCTTTCTTTATCGTGGGGCTTGAACTCTAGCCTGGGTGCTGTCCTGAGCTCTTCAGCTCAAGGCAAGCACTCTACTACTTGAGCCACAGTGCCACTTGCGGTTTTCTAGTGGTTTGTTGGAGATAAAGAGTCTCATGGACTTTCTTGCCTGGGCTGGCTTTGAACCACGATCCTCAGATATCAGCCTCCTGAGAAGCTAGGATTACGGGTGTGAGCCACAGGCGCCCAGCTGAAAATTAGTTTTTATTTTGGGTTAAAAAATTCTTGTGAGTCAAGCAGAAAAGGTCAGATAAGTTCATGTTAGGGAAATGAACTCTAAGATATGTATTCAAATGTTTTTTTCTTTCATGCGATTGTTTTTAACACATTTGTAAGATTATTTCTTTGTTGCATTGTATGTCCCTCCCCACACCTCCCGCCCCATAACCCCTGCTTTCACTGTATTTGATGTTTGTGGAGGGGAAGGGAAAAAACAAATTGTTTAAATAGGGAGACAGGTGGACCCACTGCAACAATGAGACGTACAAGTCGTTATGTTGAAAACGAACTTTACAACTTTGGTGGTGGTGGGTAGGAGGCTTAGGTGGGGGGGTGGGGGAAGGATGGAATGGAAAAGGGAAACAAAGGAGGAGGCTACAATGCTTGATAAGAAATGTACTCATTATCTTGCCCATGTAATTGTAACCCCTCTGTACAGTATTTTCACAATAAAATTTTTTTTTAATTTTGTGTCATTTCTGGAGCTTGAACCCGGTGCCTTTTGCTCTCACTTGTAATTTTTGTTCATAAGTCTGGCGCTCTATCACTTGGGTCACACCTCTACTTTGTTAATTGAAGGTAAGAGTTTCACAGATTTGTTTGCCTAGGCTGGCTTTCAACTGAGATCCTTAGATCTCAGCCTCCTGAGTAGCTAGGATTACAAGTGTAAGCTACTGGTACCTAGTTTAAAAGTAGTTCTGTATCCAGCAAGAAATAGATAGAGGGCTGGGAAGGTGGTTCAGTGGTAGAATGTTTGCTTTGAATGCATGAGGCCCTGGGTTCAATTCCTCAGTACCACATAAGCAGAAAAAGCCAGGAGTAGTGCTGTGGCTCAAGTGGTAGAGTGCTAGACTTGAGCTGAAGAGCTAAGGGACAGTGCCCAGGCCCAGAGTTCAGGCCCCAACAACAACAAAAAAAAAAAAGGTAAAGAAACTATCCATTAGTGAGAGCTTTCAGTGTATGTGAACATGACATCTTTATTCTAAGATTGGATCCTTTGTGCTAAATATTCGAACTACCCCCGCAGGCCTGGGTCACACCTCACACTCTATCTCCAAAAGACTTGAATAGCACTTGGCAGATAGCTTGTTTTCACAAAATATTCATTGACTAGCAGAATCTTACAAATGGTGACAGTCTAAGCAACAGTGCTTTTCAGTTATGCCAAGTCCAACTGTTTTCAATCATTTGTCTTTTCTACTTTATGTCGACTATCAACTGATAATGATTTGACATTTGTCTATATTTATAAACAGATTCTCCCTTCAATCTGAAAACTGAAGGGTGAGATGCCAAGTCAATTCATATTGGTGTTGTCTACAATTCTACCTTTTAGAACTAAAAGAGAAGCTAGTCACAAATTACCGGGGAACTAGCTCACTGGTGTTGAAAACCATATTTCAGATAGCTATGTCTGGCGCACCATGAGGCATTCTAAGTAAGGTGGCCTCTTTTTTTTTGGGTCCAGTCGTGGGGCCTGAACTCTGGGCCTGGGCACTGTCCCTCAGCTCTTCAGCTCAAGGCTAGCGTTCTACCACTTGAGCCACAGCGCCACTTCCGGCTTTTTTCTTTTTGCTTATGTGGTGCTGAGGAATCGAACCCAGGGCCTCAGGCATGCAAGGCAAGCACTCTACCACTGAGCCACCTTCCCAGCCCCAGGTGGCCTCTTTTTTGTGGCGCCTCCTGTATAGGGAGCTGCACGAAAATGAAGCTGAGTATCTCCTTCCTGGTCTCTGGCTGTTAGGAACTCACTGAAGTGAATGGTGAGCGTGAATTTCCTACTCTTTATAAGAAGCATATGGTCACAGAAGTTGCTGTGGACACTTTGCACTAGGAATGATAAACAAGGCTGTCCTATGAAGCAGAGTATCTTGACTTGTTTACATGTTGCTGAGAAAAGGGCATGTTAAAGACCAAAGAGAACTGGAGAGAAAATGTGCATCTGAGGTTGCACTGAAAATGTCTATCTGAGCATTCTCAACTAGAAATTAGTTAATAAAAAAGAGGGAGATAGGGATATTCGTGGACCAATAAGATACTAAGCCTCTTTGTCTGGGGTACAAAAGAGCTAGCACAATATGCAAACCTTTCAATCTCTCTAAAGAAGATGTCAGCCAATTTGTTGCCAAAAAGCCAATGAACAAAGAAGGCAAGAAACCCAGGCCCATGCTCCCAAGACCCAGCATCTTGTTACTCCATGTGTCCTGAAGTATAAACACTGGCATGTTGCTCTGAACAAACAACATTCTGAGACCACAGAATATGCTCAACTTTTGGCCAAGAGGATGAAGAGAAAGCCAAAGAAAATCTCAAGAAACAGATTGCCAAGAGATGAAGGCTCCTCTTTGAGCTTCGCTTCTGAGTTCAGTCAAAACTAAGAATCTCTGCAGCCTTCACTCCCATTTTCTGTGTGGGAAGCAGGAAATGCTAATCCATTCTTCCATTTCTCCCTACTTAATCCTGTTATACTAGAATAAACCATTAGCAAAATTTAAAAATGAATACTTTGCTGGGTGCTGGTGGCTCACGCCACTGTAATCCTAGCTACTTAGGAAGCTCAGATTTGAGGATCACGGTTCATAGCCAGCCCAAGCAGGAAAGTCTTGTTAGACTCTTATCTTCAATAAACCACCAGAAAACCAGAAGTGGCGCTGAGGATCAAGTGGTAAAGCGCTTGCCTCGAGCTGAAGAGCTGAGGGACAGCGCCCAGGCCCCAGAGTTCAAGCCCTACACTGACCAAAAAAAAAAAAAGAATACTTTAAGAGTAACAAATAAATGATCACACCTAAAAAAAAAAAAAGAATCATGGACATCCTCCTCTAAACTGTATGCTTGTTTATGCTTCATTACCAATTTCTCCCATAGACTTTCTTCCCTATTCTTGACATTCATTTACATTTCCTGGAGCCAAAATAATCATGCTAACCCTGGGATCTTTTGGGCCTTATGAAGATACTAAGAGGAGTACTAAATTTATTTTCTGTTGAAAAGTAGATACTTTCAGAAAACAGAAATCTTCCTCCATTGGCCTTGAGTGGTCTTAGCCTAAAATTTGAGGCCTAGAGAAACTATAAATACAACATGAATTCTGCTAGAATAGTAATTCTCTGACCACTTTGTACCTGAGCTTTTCCTAACAAAAACATTAGCCTCTATCTCACTTTTATTTTTCCAGACTAGGATATGAACTCAAGGCCTCATACTTGGTTAGCAGTGCTCTTGAGGCATGCCTCCACCCTGGCTTTTTCCTTGTTATTTTGGGGATGGAGTCTCACAGACCCTTCTGCCCAGGTTAGCCTTGACCCACAATCTTCCAATGTCATATTCCTGAACAGCTAAGATTACAGGTGTGAGCCACTGGGGCCTGACTCAATCCTAACATCTTAAGTATACCTTTGTAGGTAGTACAGCTTTTGAGGAAAAAGTATAATTTTGTGCCTTTCTTGAAGGGGAAGGGGATCCAAACTAGAATAAACTAGTGCTGGGATTACAGGCATGTACTTATTTTTTTTTAATTAATTTATTTTTTCTTTTGGTCGGTTGTGGGGCTTGAACTCTGGGCCTGGGCGCTGTCAGCTCTTCAGCTCAAGGCGAGCACTCTCCCACTTGAGCTACAGCACCACTTCCGGTTTTCTGGTGGTTTATTGGAGATAGGAGTCTCACAGTCTTTCCTGCCAGGGCTGGCTTTGAACCATGATCCTCAGATCTCAGCCTCCTAAGTAGCTAGGATTACAGGTGTGAGCCACCAGTGCCCGGCTCTTATTTATTTTTAGTATCTAAAGTTTTGAAACCTATTTAAAAAAAAAAGATACACACAACTTTCTGGTCCTTTTTGTTTGGGTTTTTTTTTTTAACTGTATTTTTTTTTCTTTTCTTTTTTGGTACTGGGGATCGAACCCAGGACGTTGCACTTGCTAGGCAAGCGCTTTGCCACTGAGCTACCTCCCAGCCCTCTGGTCCTTTTAATATGGACTTTAATATGTAATGAGTATTCTAGAAAACTGTGCTATAGTAAGAGGCTCAATGGAACAAAGTTCAGTTTTATAAAGCCATTTGGAATGAAGTTCAGTTTTATAAAGCCATTATCATTAAAAGCTCACAATCTAAACTGAAAACAAACGAGGAAGTAAGGTGTTATCTGAGAGATGAGGGATGGAGTGCTGAGAGATACCAGAATGTTTGCTCCCATGCAAACCACTGAAAATGAGAGCAGAGCTCACAATGCCCTTTCCCATTTGGGCAGATACCCTGGATGGATCAGCAGACGGAGCTTCCCAAGCTTGCTGTCACACATGAAGTCTTTTTTCTCTGCCTTTTTTCCACCCCATCCTTACAGACTTCCTATTCTTTCTTTTACGTTGCTTTCTTCCTTTACATGAGCCTACTCTACTCAGCAGTGGTACTAAGAAAGACACTAGGAAGGCTGTAATTGCACTTACTCCAGAATTCTTTACACACAGGAATTTTGTTTGGCTTGACAAGTTGAGAATTTTTTTTTAAGTGATGCCTCAAGAGTCAATCTATTGTCTTAAGGCAAAAAAAGAGAAAAAAACCTATTCATGATATAATAGTTTGTGTTTTGTTTTGTCTTGTTACAGGTACCAGGGTTGAACTCAGGGCCTTGAACCTGCTTGGGTTACTTGTTCATAGCTGACACTCTACCACTTGGGCCATGCCTCTAGACTAGATTTTTGTTGGTTATTTAGAGAAAAGGTCTTGAAGACTTTTCTACTTGGGCTGGCTTTGAAGTCTAATCCTCCAGATCTCAGCCTCCTGAATAGCTAGAATTATAGGCCTGAGCCATTGGTGCCCAACAGTAAATTGAAGCTTTCAGAGAATAAATAACAAAACTTGGATCATTTCAATTTTATTTAGATTTGTTTACCCTATGTAATAGAAAATCATATGCATGTGTTGATAAGAGTAACAGGGGCTGGGAATGTGGCTTAGTGGTAGAGTTCTTGCCTAGTATGCATGAAACCCTGGGTTTGATTCTTCAGTACCACATAAACAGAAAAAGTCAGAAGCAGCGCTTTAGCTCAAGTGACAGAGAACTAACTAGCAAAAGAAGCTCAGGGACAGTGCCCAGGCCCTGAGTTCAAGCCCCAGGGAAAAAAAAAAAAGAATAGGAATAACATATCTAATGATGTTTGATTGAAATTGACATTTTTGAGAAATATTTTTCCTGATTATAAATTAATGAACATTAAACATTTACGAAATTATTTTAAATTACAAGTAGAAAAAACATACCATCCACAGTCCACTGAACTGCAGTAATCTTTCCAGATTATAGTTCACTTTTTATTTCCTATTTTAACACAATGGGATAATTCTACAAATATCTAATTTTTTTCTGGTAAAAGAGTATCAACAGGGCTGGGAAAGTGGCTCAGTAGCAGAGTGCCTGCCTTGCATACATGAGGCCCTGGGTTTGATTCCTTGGCACCACATAAGCAGAAAAAAAAAGGCCGGAAGTGGCGCTGTGGCTCAAGTGGTAGAGCGCTAGCCTTGAGCTGCAGAGCTGAGGGACAGCGCCCAGGCTCAGAGTTCAGGCCCCACGGCCGGAACAAAAAAAAGAAAAAAAAAAGAATATCAACATTATCTCATATCTGTAACTTACCTTTAAAATCTAAGTAATAGAAGTCTTACACACTAGCATAAAGTATCATTATTCCATTATATAATTGTTCCATTTTACATTCCTTTCTGTTTTTGAGTGCTTAGATGAAGAACTATTTTCTTTTTTTTTTTAATTGTGAAAAATACTGTACAGCGGGGTTACAATTACGTGGGCAAGATAATGAGTACATTTCTTATCAAGCATTGTAGCCTCCTCCTTTGTTTCACCTTCCCATCCCTTCCCATCCTCTCCCCTAACCCCCACCCAAGAACTATTTTCAAATTAGATGGAGTAATAAATAAATCATACCTTTCTCCGATCTTTCAGAATCCTGTCCAAACTCTCTTCATTAACTTTGTTTGCATAGTCATAAAAACTGGTTTTTTAGAGAAGAAAAAAATTCTTGTCAAAATTCCATAGTACAGTGACCTGTACCTGCTTAGCTATATGTATCCATGGGGTATTTAACCCTAATAAAGATGTAATGGCTTGTCTTCAAAGGCATATAAAGAGAAATCAGTCTTAATGCTTTCTTGGTATGAAGTTCTCTTTTGTATCAAACAGTTGAGATCACTATAATCAAATGGTGTTACTTCCTCAGGAGGGAGGTGCTGACAGCAAGTGATTATACATGTGTGGTTTCTAATGGCTGCTACATCTTCGTTTCTAAGCATCAAAAATAACATCATTTTCTGAGAAATGAAGGGAGATGAATATCTGCTGAATGCTTAATGAGATACTCAGCTGCATGCTTTCTCATGCAATCACATCCTTCTTGCATCAGTGATGAGAGGTATGAGTTTAGCCCAACAATCAGTAAGTTTTATTCCATTTTTTATAGATAAAGATAGCAATGTTAACTGACTTGCCCCAAACTGAAGAGCTAGCACAAAAGGGCTGGGATTTGAAGCCAGGTCTGGTTAGCTTCAAACAATGCATTCACTTCCCAAACAGACCAATGCAATGAGCCCAGATATACTTTCCTGTCTCTGGTGACTGTCCTAGGAATGCCATCCTCCTCTTACTACCGTAAGTGCAGGCCCTAAAGGCAGGAAAGAGTTCAAAAAATCACTGACTCAGGTACCAAGAGATACTAGGTCCAGCCCAAATTCTGCTTTTTCCTGTAAAATGTGGGGCAAGTCACTTTATCTGTTCTCCATTTCCTTTTTTGCAAAATAAGGAGTTTGGAGTAGACACCTGATCTCTAAGGTTTTTTTTGTTTTTTTAACTCTAGGAATTATGAATGTCTGAATTAAACTCAATCAAATCCTATCCTTGTTCTGGTACTGACAGTGTTTTATGGAATTCCTTAGCAGGGTGAGGCCAAGCACATCCAGTGGAGCTACACCAAGCCTAGAGGCAGTGTGTAGAATAAAACTCCGCCCATTTCATGGCTCTGACATCTGACATTCTTTTCAAATGACCAATAGTTGTTCCTCTGCTATTGGTCTTATTATAGCTTCCCCATTCTACTTTCAGTTATGTGTAAATCTAAACTAGGTGGGGTTCTTTGGCTACTTTCAGGCTTTGTTTACTGGGAGCCAGCTGGCATGATGACAGTCCTCTAAAATAGTCTAAGAAGGCTGGGAAGGTGGCTCAGTGGTAGAGTGCTTGCCTTGCATGCCTGAGGCCCTGGGTTCGATTCCTCAGCACCACATAAGCAAAAACAAAAAAGCTGGAAGTGCCGCTGTGGCTCAAGTGGTAGAGCGCTAGCCTTGAGCTGAAGAGCTGAGGGACAGCGCCCAGGCCCAGAGTTCAGGCCCCACAACCGAACCCAAAAAACAAACAAACAAAAAAATAGTCTAAGAGTAGAGGTGTATGTGAAGAGTAGACATGGTAAGAGTCAGGGGTGCTGGGGTGTCAGGGCCTGGGTGTTTAGGGTGGTCAGGGTGAGAGCTTCAGGGTTCAAACAGCAGAAAGAGGTAGGCCAAAGGGGTTGGTGGGGTGAAGGAATGATCAAGAACACTGAATGGTGTTTATGCAGGCATACTGGAAGCACACTGGCATGCCTTCTGGGGAAGGAGAAGTAGGGCCTAGGGGAGTTTATGCAGCACACAGCTGAAAGCATTCCAGCCATCAGATGGTAGGGTTTGAGGCTTAGAAAGATGACAAAGCCTAGGTGGTGGTTTGGGAGAAGTACAGGAGTGGGAGATACTGGACTCCTCTATCCTATCTTTTCCCTCCAGATCTATTTCTATTGTTTGCTTTCTCCCTCTGAATGTTGTCTTCTCATGTCTTTCTGTCTGTCCTTTAGTTGGTCATATAATGAAACTGGTGTATATTAGCTTAAAGAGTAAGCACAAAGGTAAGTCATATGTACCCCTTCCTTACTTAAAAAAATTCTTTGAAGGGCTGGGAAGGTGGCTCAGTGGTAGAACGCTTGCCTTGCATGCATGAGGCCTTGGGTTTGATTCCTCAGCACCACATACGCAGAAAAAGCCAGAAGTGGCGCTGTGGCTCAAGCAGTAGAGTGCTAACCTTGAGCTGAAGAGCTGAGGGACAGCGTCCAGGCCCAGAGTTCAGGCCCCACAACCGACAAAACAAAACAAAAAAAGTTGAAGAGATGTTTTTTTCTTCTTCTTTTCGGCCAATCCTGGGGCTAAAACTCTGGGCCTGAACTTTTGTAATAAAGGCTAGCACTCTATCACTTGAACCACAGCACCACTTCTGGCTTTTCCTGTTTATGTGGTACTGAGGAATCCAACCCAGGGCTTCATGCAAGCTAGGCAAGCACTCTACCACTAAGCCACATTCCCAGCCCCCAACTCACTAGTTTTTAATCAATCCTTTTAATAAGAACTGAAAGCATGTAGCTTACCTAAAAAGTTTTGAACAAGGCTGATGGTTATGGATTTCTGTAAAAAGAAAGGAAAACACTTCAGTTAATCATGTGAGACACAGACAACCATAAAATAGCTCAGGATTATTACTTTTGTTTGTCAGTCTTGCAGCTTAAACTCTGGGCCTGGGCGCTGTCCCTAAGCTCTCTTCAGCTCAAGGCTAACACTCTACCACTTGAGCCCCAGTGCCACTTCTGGCTTTTTCTGTTTATGTGGTGCTGAGGAATCAAACCTAGGGCCTCATACATTTGAGGTAAGCACTACACCACTGAGCTACCTTCCCAGAGCAGATTTTTTTTTTTTGGATTGGTCATGGGTCTTGAACTCTGGGCCTGAGCACTGTCCCTCAGCTCTTCAGCTCAAGGCTAGCACTTTACCACTTGAGCCACACCACCATTTCCAGCTTTTTCTGCTTATGTGCTACTGAGGAATAGAACCCAGGGCCTCATGAATGCAAGGCAAGCACTCTACCACTGAGTTACCTTTCCACCCCCAGATTTTTTGTTTTTAAACAAAATCTTTGATAATGAAGATAGTCTTCCATCAAACCAGAAGCAAAGGCAGTACCATGTGCCTGCTCAACAGTTACACCAGGGACACAAGATAGAACAAGCAGACTGGAGAACAAGAGTTCTGCTCTGATCTGAGGATCGCGGTTCAAAGCCAGCCCGGGCAGGAAAGACCATGAGACTCCTATCTCCAATAAACCACCAGAAAACTGGAAGTGGCGCTGTAGCTCAAGTGGTAGAGCGCTCGCCTTGAGCTGAAGAGCTGGGGGACAGCGCCCAAGCCCAGAGTTCAAGCCCCACAACCGACAAAAAAAAAAAGAGTTCTGCTCTGTTTGCCCATGTGTGATGGGCACACAGTTGAAGGTCTTTCAGGAACATGCAGCTATTGTGTGTCTTATTCAATCTCACCAATTTCAGCAACTCATCACAGGAAAAAATAAAACTGACTGGAAGTATTTAATCAAGTGGCATAAAAGCTATAAAGGTGTTGGTGGCTCATGCCTGTAATCCTAGCTACACAGGAGGTTGTGATCTGAGGATGGTGGTTCAAAGCCAACCCAGGCAGGAAAGTACATGAGACTCTTATCCCCAATTAACCACCAGAAAATTGGAAGTGGGGCTGTGGTTCAAAGTGGTAGGGCACTAACGTTGAGCAAAAGACCTCAGGGGTCAGTGCTCAGTACCCAGGCTCTGAGTTCAGGCCCCATGTCTGACAAAAAATAACCAAAAATTGTAACTACAACTTAGGGAGAAAAGGGTCTTAAGCACCTACCCTTCCTAACTAGCTGACAACTTGGGCCAGATGATTTGAAGGAGAAGGAATTCTTTAAGTCTATTAACCCTTGCAAAGATGGTGAATACTGAGGGAGACAGTCATTTATAAGGCAGATCCTAAGAACTTCTGAAATGAACAATTCCTTCAAATTCATTAGAGGATCTAGGGTTTGAACCGTTTTTATAAAGAAGAGATAAGTTGACCATTCAATTCTATTTATCACATTCTCTTAGGGAGCAACTCATCACCTGCTGTTTAAAAATCCATAGCCTCTGGGCTGGGAATGTGGCTTGGTGGTACAGTGCTTGCCTACCATGCATGAAACCTTAGGTTCAATTCTTTAGTACCACATGAACAAAAAAGGCCAGAAGTGGTGCGGTGGCTCAAGAAGTAGAATGCTAGTCTTGAGCAAAAGAAGCTCAAGGACAGTGCCCAGGCCCTGAGTTCAAGCCCCAGGACTGGCAAAAAAAAAAAAAAAAAATTCATAGCCTCAGAGTTCCAGGGTATAGTTTTACCTTAATTAAAACAAAACTACTACAAACTCGGGTACCAGTGACTTACATTATGTCACCAACACACACATACACACATAACTTCTACAGGAAAGAATTCATTTGCCTAGCTATAGAGCTGATATAGTGATGAAAGTGAAGACAACTCCAGAAGTATTTCCTTCTTTGGGGGCTAAAAATGACAGGGTACATCATTATAAGTTACTTCAGAGATAGTCATTAGAATGTGGAATGTCAGTAGTAAAAATATTACTTATAGCCGGGTGCTGTTGGCTCAGTCCTATAATCCTAGCTACTCAGGAAGCTGAGATCTAAGATGGCAGTTCAAAGCCAGCCTAGACTTCACTGCTCGTGAGACTCATCTCCAATTAACCACCAAAAAACTGAAAGTGGGAAAAAATAATTTTTAAAAATGTATTCATAAAGAGATAAGGGTGGGCTGCTGTCTCTTTGCATCAGGTGAAAAAATATATACATATTACTTGAAAGGAACAGAATTCTTGCTTCATTTTCTCTGGGAGAGCTGAGTATTGCCTCTCTTTCCTCTCTTCATTCTTTCTAGTAATTGTTACTGTTGTTACCTCATTACCTGAGGATACTTTTCTCTCCCTACCTACCACGCTTAGAACTAAAAGGGGACAGCTCTAATTCAAATGAGTAGGCACAGATTTTTAAATTAACTTACATTTTAAAAAGAAAAGATGTCTGGCTGGATGCTGGTGGCTCATGCCTGTAATCCTAGTTACTAAGGAGGCTGAGATGTGAGGATCATGGCTCAAAGCCAGCCTGGGCAGGAAAGTCCATGAGACTCTTATCTCCAATAGGTTTATTCCAGAAAACTAGAAGTGGCGCTGTGGCTCAAGTGGTAGAGTGCTCGCCTTGAGCTGAAGAGCTCAGGGACAGCACCCAGGCCCAGAGTTCAATACCCTTGACCAACAACAACAAAAAGACATAAATAATTATGGCTGGGGGTGTGGTTCAGTTGTAGAGTACTTACCTCACATGTATAAGGCCTTGGGGTTTGATCCCTAGCTCTGCAAAGATAGCTAGATAGCCAACCAGAATAGTAACAAGAAAGAATTAAAATTTTGAAAATCAAGATATAAATAGCAACTACCCAGATATCCTGTGAAATGAAATTCTCTGATTTAGGATTTTAAAGAGTTATGTAAGTCAAAACCACTTCAATATGACCTGAATTAAAGGTGAATTATACTCTATGCACAAAACAAATCCTTACTCAGCAGGGCAGAACTGTGTGAGGTCAAAGTTTGGTCTTGACTCTTTTTTTTTTTGGTTAGTCATGGGGCTTGAATTCTGGGCCTGGGTGCTGTCCCTGTGCTCTTCAGCTTAAAGCAAGTGTTTACCACTTTACGCCACAGCACCACTTCCAGTTTTCTAGTGGTTAATTGGAGATAAGAGTCTCACAGACTTTCCTGCCCAGGCTAGCTTTGAACGCGAAGCCTCAGATCTCAGCCTCCTGAGTAGATAGGATTACAGGTGTGAGCCACTGGCACCCAGCAGGTCTTGACTCTTTTGGAGAACCTTCAGTCACTTATCCCTCAATTCTTTATCCTTGTCCTCCAGTTCATTTACCTGAAAGGTATCAAAACTGATGACTTGGTCACAGTGTGATCTAACCTGCCATCAGTATTTCAAGCCACACACCATTCACTTTCACACATCTTGAGCCTCAGTTCACACAGAAATAGGCCAGGTATCCTCTATGTTTTATGCCTGATTTGCTCTGCACTTCCCTGAATGTGCAGCCCTCTGGCCCTGCCAAGTCCTTTGCAGTTTCTCCACTAGGTTTTTCTCTCAGCATCAGATATTTAATAAGGCTTGTTTCTCTCTCTCTCTTTTTTTTTTTTTTTTGCCAGTTGTGGAGCCTGAACTCTGGGCCTTTGACTGTCCTCAGCATTTCAGCTAAAGGCTAGTACTCTACCACTTGAGCCACAGCACTACTTCTTGGCTTTTTCTGCTTATGTGGAGCTGAGGAATTGAACCCAGAGCCTCATGCACACAAGGCAAGCACTCTACCATTGAGCCACCTTCCCAGCCCCAAAACTTGTTTCTCTTATAGCACTCATCTTGCACTGTCTGGTGGTATTTCTGTATAGTTGCTTTATTTTCCCCATAGTTTCAAAATGCAGGGATAGATCTGGATACTCCTTTGTTGGTCATGCCTCAGTCATGGAAGTTCTGCAATAGATGTTTGTTACATAAATAAATAAAACACCCTTTGCTTAGTCCTGTATATCAAGATGTGCTATTTGGTAATTTGACCAAGATATACCTAAAAGCATTATGTTCTGCATCAATAAACACCCTTTCCTCCTCTCCAGTCACATGCTCCAAAATGACTGACTTTTAGACTCCGAAGGCTGTGTAGATCCAGCAAGCATCTTTGGTATGACCATCTTTGCCAGATCCCTCTAGGAAGGATCAGCACAAGGCATCCATTCATTACAATATATAGAGAGTGATACTAGCAATGAGGAGAGCCTAAACTACAAACTTCAGGTTCACTGTGGTTTTGAAGAGACTACAGAATGGTCACATAGTGATTCAGTAAAAATCAGATCAATTACTGGATAGGGACAGCTGCACAGAAGAACCACACATACAACTATGCACTGACACAAAATATATCACTTATCAGCATAAATAAACTTGTTAGCATCCATTTACTATTTTAGTTAAAATTAATTATGAGCCAAAGAGCAAAATGACAAGTATATATACAAGAAGTGTATTTCGGGCTGGGAAGGTGGCTCAGTGGTAGAGCGCTTGTCTTGCATGCCTGAGGCCCTGGGTTCGATTCCTCAGCACCACATAAGCAAAAACAAAAAAGCCAGAAGTGACGCTGTGGCTTAAGTGGTAGAGCACTAGCCTTGAGCTGAAGAGCTGAAGGACAGCGCCCAGGCCCAGGGTTCAGGCCCCACGACCGGACCCCAAAAAAAAAAAAAGTGTATTTCTATTATCATGGGAGAAGATAAACTGTAAAGTAGATATACGTAATCTTTTACCACTCTGCAGTTGCTTTTTTTCCCCAGAATTCATCATAACTTTGATTTTTTTTTAATGGTCTGTTTTTAATGCAGGGGCTTTTCTTCTCTAGAAATGCAATTCTTAGCAGGAAAAAAAAAAAACAGAAAACCCTACAAAAAAAAAAAAGGCAGCAAAGGGTAGTTTTCATCTGGTGTCTTATTTAAGTTTTTTAAGTTAAGAAACAGCTGGTGACATATATGTTTTTGTGCAAAAATAAATGAATGGCAATAGATTTAAAAAATCTTATTATGGGGCTGGGAAGGTGGCTCAGAGGTAGAGCGCTTGCCTTGCATGCATGAGGCCCTGGGTTCGATTCCTCAGTACCACATAAGCAAAAAGAAAAAAAAAAGCCAGAAGTGATGCTGTGGCTCAAGTGATAGACCACTAGCCTTAAGCTGAAGAGCTGAGGGACAGCGCCCAGGCCCAGAGTTCAGGCCCCACAACCAGAACCCCCCCCCAAAAAAAACACATCTTATTATGTACTTCTGTGTGAAAAAAAAAGTCTGTATAACATTTCCCTTAACTATGCATTCTTTTACTTGTGAGTTTTTTTTACTGAATTAATCTGAAATGTATGAGCCCTGGATTTGCTACAGAGTGAGAAGTTATTTTATTATTTTTATTTTCAATTTTGGAAATTCTGCAGAAGCATGCTTGTATGTATATTTCAGAACCTTTTTAAAATGTAAAATCTATACATTTCTGGGAAGTTCTGAATTACTTTTGTTTCCTTTTTCCTTCCAGCATTTTGCAGTGAGCATCTTTTATATACAGCAAACAATTTGAGAGAATACAAAAACATGTGAAGTTCATTAAAACTAAAACACTACAATACAGCGCTGGTACGGTACATTAAGACTTTGATAAAAGAAACAATAATAAAAGGTCTCCATTTTAAATGTCATTCATATATACCTTGTGGATGAGAGCTACATACTTCTACACTTTTTTAGAGGAATAAATTATTGAATTACTGAAAAAAAAAAGAAGTGTATTTCTAAGGTCAATGAGAAATTTACTCACCAATTACTTGCAGAAATTCTGTGTTGCTGATTTGTGAGTCACTGATGCTAAAAGTTTCCTCTTGCCTTACCTCGCCCAGCAAAAAGCCTTCCTAAAAGTAAAAGAAAACAATTGCAGGCTAAATATAAAGATATTTTTACTAAAATTAAGAGGAATTAAGGACATTATTTTATAATAATTTTAACAACAGCCCAAATAAGCTTAGCATATAAATACTATTTTTAAACCAATAAATAAAGCTATGAGGTATCTCTACTAATTAGAATGTTTGGAGAAAAAAGGATTTCATAAGAAAACAAATATTATTTTAATCCTGTCAAGGCTTTCCTGTTTTGAGTGAATTCATCTCTTAAATCTTACTAAGCTTCATAAGCAATGTTAAAAAAAGCTCAGGAAGCAGAATATCCCAAGGTTGTTTCTTAAAACAGCATGTAATTTATTTCATTCTATTAAAAACCCTACTAAAGGCTGGGAAGGTGGCTCAGTGGTAGAGTGCTTGCCTTGTATGCATGAGGCCCTGAGTTTGATGCCTCAGTATCACATAAGCAGAAAAAGCTGGAAGTTGTGCTATAGCTCAAGTGGTAGAGTGCTAGCCTTGAGCTGAAGAGCTGAGGGACAGTGTCCAGGCAAAGAGCTCAGGCCCCACAACCCACCAAAAAAAAACAAACAACTTACTAATCATGAAAGGATAAAAAAGTCAACACAATGCAAGTACTCTTGGGCTGGCATAGGGAATGATTTCAGCAAGTCATTCTTTGCAGAAGTCAGGCAGATGTCAGTGGCTCAAGGCTTGAAGCAACCTGTACAGGCAAATCCACTAGACTCTTATCTCCATTTAACCAGCAAAAAGCCAGAAGTGAAGGCGTGGTTTAAGTAGCAGAGTACTAGCCATGAGTGAAAAAGCTAAGCAAGAACAATCTCTGAGTATCACACACACACACACAAACACACACACACACATTTAGACATACAAATGAAGAAGCTAATTTATTACTTGTAACTCTGGAGAATACCTATCATTAAGTCAGTCTGCATTGGCCATTAGAAATGACAAAATAATGACATTTGCAGGGAACTGGATGGAGCTAGAAGAAATCATGTTGAGCGAGGTAAGCCAAGAGCAAAGAGACAAACCGTACATGGTCTCCCTGATAAGTGCATGTTAAATCCAAAATGTTAGGTGATACGACAAAATTAACAGGACTTAAGAAACAAAGAACTTCCACTCATCTGGTCGAACCACTACTAAATAACCCCATGCTGCTGATCACATGTATGGTATATATGTGTACACCGTTACATGTTATAGACCGTGATAGATAATTTGCTCCAGGAAAGTTAGAATGTGTTTGTGACTGTAACTGAGCATCACTATCCCACAATACTGTGAAATTTGGGAAATTATGTAATCACTTAATCACAATTAAAAAAAAAACAAAAAAACGGAAAAGTGGAAGTGGCGCTATGGCTCAAGTGGTAGAGCATGAGCCTTGAGCTGAATTGCTCATGGATAGCTCCCAGGCCTAGAGTTCAAGCTCCATGACTGACAAAAAAAAGAGAGAGATCTTTCATGCAATTGTTTCTAACATATTTATAAGATTATGTCTTTGCCGGGCGCTGGTGGCTCACGCCTGTAATCCTAGCTATTCAGGAGGCTGAGATCTGAGGATCGCGGTTCAAAGCCAGCCTGGGCAGGAAAGACCGTGAGACTCCTATCTCCAATAAACCACCAGAAAACCGGAAGTGGCGCTGTAGCTCAAGTGGTAGAGCTGAGGGACAGCGCCCAGGCCCAGAGTTCAAGCCCCACAACTGACAAAAAAAAAAAGATTATGTCTTTGTTGCTTTGTATGTCCCTCCCCCACGGTATAACCCCTGCTTTCACTATATATGTTGGTATATGTGGAGGGGAAGGGAAAAAAACAAATCGTTAAAACAGGGATACAGGAGGACCCATTGCAACAATGAGATATACAAGTCATTATGTTGAAAAACGAACTTTACAACTTTGGTGGGGCGGGGGGGAGGATGGGAAGGGATGGGAAGGGGAAACAAAGAAGGCTACAATGCTTGATAAGAAATGTACTCATTAGGGCTGGGAAGGTGGCTCAGTGGTAGAGTGCTTGTCTTGCATGCATGAGGTCCCGGGTTCGATTCCTTAGCACCACATAAGCAGAAAAAAAAAAGCCAAAAAGCTGGAAGTGGCACTGTGGCTCAAGTGGTAGAATGCTAGCATTGAGCTGAAGGGCTAGGGGACAGCGCCCAGGCCCAGAGTTCAGGCCTCATGATCGGACCAAAAAAAAAAGAAAAAGAAATGTACTCATTATCTTGCCCATGTAATTGTAACCCCTCTGTACAATATTTTCACAATTAAAAAATACGTTTATAAAAAAAATCAGTCTGGGGCTGGGAAGGTGGCTCAGTGGTAGAGCGCTTGCCTTGCATGCCTGAGGCTCTGGGTTCGATTCCTCAGCACCACATAAGCAAAAAGAAAAAAGCCTGAAGTGGCTCTGTGGCTCAAGTGGTAGAGCGCTAGCCTTGAGCTGAAGAGCTGAGGGACAGCACTCAGGCCCGAGTTCAGGCCCCACGACCTGACCCCCCCCCCCGCAAAAAAAATCAGTCTGCATTGTTCAGCAAATTAACTGTTTGAATACTTGCTGCTACTCAGCACAAGCTCAGCTGGATAGGGCACACCCTAATGCCAAAATAATGTTCCTGTAGAGAACATAGAGAACATAGTAGTACTAATCCATCCTGGAATCTCTCCCCCTAGATACTTGCATGGTTGCTAGTTAATTGGAGATGGAATCTCCAATCTGCCTGGGTTGGCTTAGAACTTCAACCCTCCAGCTCTTAGCCTCTTGGGTAACTAGGACTACATATGTGAAGCAACAATACTTGGCTTTCCTTCCCTTATGTCTTTATTCAAATGGTACATCAGAGAGGCTTTGCAAGGCCAACATATGGCAAATTACATCTTCCGGGTTCTGTCCCCTTCATCTTGCCTTTCTTCTTAGGCTTCTCACTACCATATTACAGAATTATAGAAATAGATAGATGCCTATACCAGCTAAAATGTATGCTCAGAAAAGGTACTTTGTACTTGTTTATTGCTGTATCTCTGTACCTAGCCCAGTACCTCACACCCAACAAACACTCAACAAACACTGGCTGAATAAATTTGCTGAAATAATGTTTTCCTATAAGGTATTTCTCATTTCTAGTTTGATCCATCAAACCAGTTATAGAAACTTCCTAGTTTAAAAGATTTTCAGTTAGAAGTATCAATCTATGAGGGGTGAGTAAAGACAGATGTTTTAAAACTTCACTCTTCTGCATTTGATTTGGGAAGGGGGAATGTCCTAAAACCCCCAATTATCACATTCAAAGCATGTCCCAAAATTGAATAATATAGATTTCCTTTACAATAAAATTCTCTCAGACCCCAAAAAGTGTCTATGACAATCAGTTTGAGAAGCACCAATAAACTTGTCTATTAAAAGAAGCTTTGTTGGGCTGGGAATGTGGCCTAGTGGTAGAGTACTTGCCTAGCATGCATGAAGCCCTGGGTTCAATTCCTCAGTACCACATACATAGAAAAAGCCGGAAAAAAAAATGTCCAAAATGTCCTGTACTCAAAAGAAGCTTTGTCTTATAACAAGCAAAAAACAACAACAAAAATCACTTCTAATCAAAGTGAAAAAAATCTAGTATTTTTTTTGGGGGGGGGGTCCAGTCATGGGGCCTGAACTCTGGGCCTGGGCGCTGTCCCTCAGCTCTTCAGCTCAAGGCTAGCTCTCTACCACTTGGGCCACAGCGCCACTTCTGGCTTTTTTCTTTTTGCTTATGTGGTGCTGAGGAATGGAACCCAGGGCCTCATGCATGCAAGGCAAGCGCT